TGAGTGAACAGAGACTGCATTTCCTTATGCTTTCTCTATCAAGAAGTCACTCACTTGGAGATTAATTCACAGTAAAGAGACATTTTATCTAGGTTCTTGTTTCTCAAAGTATGGGTCCCAGATCATCATTGGAATCACCTTCAGCCTGTTGGGAATGCAGAATCTCAGGCCCCATCTCAGCCCTACTAATCAGAATCTGCCTCTTATTAACATTCCCAGGTGATTCATAAGTACACCAAAGTTTCCAAAGCCTGATCTAGGTGACCATTAAAAATTCCCAAAAGAAAAATAAATGACACAAAAAGATTTGTAAAAATGAGATGCAAATGCCCATTAGTCATATTTTTTAAAAGTTCAATCACACAAGTAATAAAAGTAAATTAAAATAATAAGGAATTCACATTTTAAGTATGTGAGGATATATACTAAGGTATCTCTGGAAGATGAAATTAAAGGGGGTTTAAATTTTCTTCTGAACATTGAGGGGGGACAGACCAAAAACAATGAATATAATAAATAATTTAAAATTTTGGGTAATTATATAATAAATGAAGTATATAGAATAATGTGTCCACTATTTGATCCAACAATTCATTTCCAGAAATTTCCAAAAAAACTAATATGTATGACTCACAGACTTAGAAAACAAACCAGGGGCAAAGGGTGGGGGGAAGGGATAGTTAGAGAGTTTGCGATTGACATGTACACACTGCTATATTTAAAATGGATAACCAGGGACTTCCCTGGTGGCGCAGTGGTTAAGACTCCACGCTCCCAATGCAGGGGGCCAGGGTTCAATCCCTGGTCAGGGAACTAGATCCCACATGCAATGCTGCAACTAAGAGTTCACATGCCACAACTAAGGAGCCGACGAGCCACAACTAAGGAGGCCACCTGCTGCAACTAAGACCCAGTGCAACCAAATAAATAAATTAAATAAATAAATATTAAAAGAAATAAAATAAAATGGATAACCAAAAAGGACCTCTACTATATAGCACAGGGAACTCTGCTCAATATTATGTAACAACCTAAATGGGAAAAGAATTTGAAAAAGGATAGATACATGCATATGTATAACTGAATCACTTTGCTGTATACTTGAAACTATCACAACATTGTCAACTATACTCCAATATAAAATAAAAAGTTTAAGAAAAAAAACTAGTATGTGCAAAAACTTAGTTATAAGCAGTATTTTTATAGTAGAGGGAAAAATTGGAAAACAAATGTCCAACAAAAGGGAAATAGTAAAATAAATTAAGATGTATCTATGATAATATAATGCAGCCAATAAGCATCATTTATAAAATAAATGTGATGTGAGAAAACAGTCAAATGCCTCAGTAGAAAAAAATCAGACAGAAAAAAGAGAATGAAAAGTATATTACCATTTTATATTAAAAACTCATATCTTAATGTAAATAAGAGAAAAATAAATAGAGAGTATCATAATGAGAAATACAATGGCTATAATGGCTAGTGTGATAAAAGAATGATGTGGGGCTGATTGTACTTTATTTCTAAATTTTCCAAGTTTTCTATATTAAGCATGTATTATTTATGTAGGAAGAAATATTATTTTTGAAAGATCCCAATCCAATTTAGCACAGTCCCTATAATTCCCTTAGTTATCCTTGTTTTATGGCACTAGGTAGAACTAGGTCCCAAAACAGGTACTATATGTCCATGCCTCCACTTCAAAATCACTGTATTCTTCTAGACAAGCAACTAAATTTTTAATTTTATAAGGTTCCACTTTCTCATCACATGATTATTATATTATTTATGACTTTGGACCTACCAAATTAAAAACACACATAACACTTAGTTGAATTTACTCACCACAGTACAATGGTCAGTAAGGAGAATAAATGATGCCAGAGGATCAAACCTGAGGTGAATGTCCTCTCGAGCAGAAAATATGTGGTGAACACTCTTACTTCTTCCAGCAGAGTCCTAGTTATAAGCACAGCAGAGAAGCAACCCTCATGTACAAATACGTACAATGTTCCAAGATTAAGTTTCCAATAACTTGTCAGTTATCTCAGAATAAGCAATATTTTTTTCATTTACTTTTGATTCTTCCTATAAGCACTTTAAATAAAACTTCTTTTAAACCCTGTAATTCTAGATTTGAACTGGAAATATCAGCATGTATTACAATGTATTCTCTCTTTTAAAAAACAGAAATCTGTATTTCCCTCTGTTTACTGAAAAGCCCTAAAAATAATAATGAACTCAAGAACAATGAGCTAGCTGGGCTAGTGCCCAGATTTTGGTCTCAAAATAAAACTTGTCACTACAAGAAACCAATGCTCTTTAGAGAAATAGGTGATTCCAGTTCTTGAGTAAGAAATGCAAAAGAACTTGAAACATCTTCTACCAGAAAGCAAGAAAACTAACAAGGACTACAGGGATTGTATCAAAGGACTTAGTGGCCAACTTGGAGAGGCTCCCACTAGTCAAACAATTGAGCATCAAAAAGAATAAATGCAATGGATTGAAACATACCAAATATATATATTTTTTTAACTATGAATTAATAATGATACTAGAAGACTCATTTAGTTACCTTTGGCAGAAGCTAGAGAAGTAACTCATTACTTTGAAAACTGGTTTAGAACAGGAAAGGTGGAGGAAGAATGAAGACTTATCTTGCCTTTCCTGTATGAACTCTATATCTCGGTACCAAATAGATGAGGCAAATTTTTTCTTTGTGGGACTATTCTAATTAATACTCCTATAATTAGGAGTGTAATTTGAATATCACCATTTTATAACTCTGATGAAATAATGGATCTAGACTGAGATTATCAGTAAGTGCTAATCCCTCAGTGAAAAGCTGGTTGAGTACTGAAAAGCTGAATGGAGGATAAGCCTGCAGTGTGCTGGTACTGGCTTGACTGACCCACGAGGGCCAACTGCTACATATTCAGGAATTTTGCAGACCAGCTGATGTGTCAGTAGCTTAAAACCAGCTACAGGAGAAATATTTATACTATGGAAATTGGTATAAATCAGGGAGACGCTACAAATCAGGGTCCTCCCTTCAAACCTGCCCCAAGCTGGTTGTTAAATATTTATCAGCATACTACTGGGTAGGGTCAACAATATCTGCATACATTGATCAATCTTAACATTATTAAAAGAGAGACAACCAGATACTATAGGCTGATAAATATGCTTCTGATAAAAGCATAAAACACCAAATGAAGTATTCCTGCCAAAAAACAGACTCAGATCTGATCTAACCTCAAATCTAACTACAGTAATAGAAACTAGATGGGGTAGAGGAACATGCTATGTGATAACACATGGATATAAACAGCAAAAATCTAGAATACAGAAACAGTACAGGATAAAAGATCCAGTTTCCAAAGCAAAACAAATTGAGAGGGGAAAAAAAAAGGAGGGTGGAGAGGGAACCTATAGGTTAAAAGACACTGAAGAGACAATCACCTAAATGCAATATTTGAGCCTTGTTTGGATTCTTATTTGAACCAACCAAACGCAATTATATGTGACAAAATAAGAAAACTGAACACTAGCTGGATAGTTTGATATTAAGGAATTACTGTTAATTTTTCAGGTGTGATATGGTACTATGGTGACTTTTTTTTAAAATAGCTCTTATCTTTTAGAGATATATACTGTCATATTTACACAGATGAAATGACATCGTGGTACAGGGAGGAGAGAAGTGGATGGAGTACAGATGAAACAAGACTGGTCAAAAGTTGATAATCTTTGAAGTTGGGTGAAGGATACATGGAGATTTATTATAGTATTATCTCTTTCATATATTTTAAAAATTCCTCATCATAAAAAGTTTTAAAATAGCAAAAAGAACTTGTACTGGTGTTTATCAAACTTTTATTGCTCAAATGTTCTAACTCTGAATGACAAGTTCTTAGGGTTTTTTTTAAGTTCTTGTTTTAAAGCAGAGATTTTCTTTAATTTTGAGATACAGAGATTTCTAGAGTTTGCTCTTTAAATTGGCAAAGGAGGCACAATAATCTTAAATTCTGGTTCTCAAACTTTAATGCACATCAGAATCACCTGGAGGGACTGTCAAAACAGATGGCTGGGTTCCATCTCCAGAGTTTCTGATACATAGGTGTGGGATGGGATTTCTAACAAGTTCCTAGGTGATGCTGATGCTACTACTTCAGAAACCACACTGAGAACTGATCTAAAGGTCCAGTTGGTACTAGGCTGCCCAGAACTTTACAGATATTCAATAAATACAGTGAATAGGTAAAATATAAGATAATAAATCGATGTCTTCTCCCATGAATTTTTCTTTCAGACTTATCTATGGTATACTGTATTTAAAAGGACAGAACTTTCTCACTGATGAATGAGGGGACAGGTTCCCTGTTTAATATTCAGTAGACTAATTTTTTTTTTTTCAGTAGACTAATTTTTTAAAGTTATACTCATAGACATAAAACAGATCAGTGGTTGCCTGGAAATGAGGGTGGAGGGAAGGCAGTTGCAAAGGGACATAAGAAAACTTTTGAGGGTGATAGATCATATTGATTGTAGAAATGGTTTTAAGGATGTATAAGAAAGTCAAAACACACAAAATTGTACTCTTTAAATATATGGAGTTTTTTAATATAAATTCTACCTCAATAACGTAAGAAATGTTAAACATATAAAAAGTATATGTGATTTCACATTTTTACTAAGGATTCAACTAAGCAGGCAGAAAGGTTCAAGAAATGTGAGCTATGGTTTCTTCCTCATAAAACTACAGAAGCTGAGGTTCGGAAGCAATCCAAAGATTTGGAAGTTCCCCATTCCAACAGTGAGCAGATCTCCTATGGTTGCTGCTACTTCTTCCCCATGACTGTAAAGATAGGGAACAATTTATTCTATGTGCACTTGTATCTTCAAGTCTTTTTTTTTTTTTTTTTTTTCCCTTTTGGGGCGCTTTTCTCTCCCCCCCGGGGAGCCCTTCTAATTTTTTTTTTTTTTTTTTTTTTTACATAAAGCTTTCTTTTTATTTTTAATTCATAAACCTTAATGAATACAGAGTGCCTGATTTTAAATAAATGGATCCTTTAAACAGATAATGGTGATTATACTATAAATAACTAAAGTTTCCTGATCCCCTGCATTCTTGTAAAAGCCAAGTCACCTAGTTTTCAACACCCATATTAGCATGTGTGTGGTTATCTAACCATAGATACTAAATATCATAATTTATATTTACTCTCTCCCACAGCAGAAATTGAAAATGCGGCCTCCATACATTCAGTGATTTCTCCTAAGTCCCTTTACATAACTCTGTGATAGTTTTAGAATATAAACATTTTGTAATATAATTTGCAAGCACAATTTGTACACGCCATAGTGGTCAAGGGCAAAGGCTGACTTCACCAGGGGTGCCAGATGCCCCCCTCGGCAGACTGTTCTGCTGGGCAGTGTCCACAGCTTCTTCGTGTGATGACTCTTTCGGAGTCTCTCCTCTGCAAAGGCATCACTGTTGTGTAATTCAGTACTGGCTCCCCTGCATGACTAAAGTCAGACAACCATGTCCGTTTGTCTAGTGGGATACGGTTGAGCACACTCTGTGTCAGAAAGAGACAAAGCTCAGACCCATATCATTCCTTGATCAGCAGCTAGAAGGCTGACCTGCCCCTACCCCCACCCTCTTTTCCCACTGCTTTCTAAATGAACAGTGGCTGATGCTATGGAGTTTTTGTTTTTTGAATTTTTTCTAGATCCCTTTGATAAAAATGATGACCCCCACTATCCAGGCTGAAATCTACTTGCAGAGACCAAGATAACTATGAACTGCAAGTTGTAACTGTAAAATAAAGCTATGTGGTTTTTCAACAATTAGACGTTTCTGGAGGCATGCAAAACGGTATGTGCAGCCTGGGACACGTGCTTTCTCTCCCAACATCAGCTGCAAGTTCTAATTGAGACCACAAATCCCCCAGGTCCTTAAAATAGAGTCCTGCTCGGTGCAAGTTCTTCTTTACAGATGATTAATTCAGTGCCAGTTTCACAGTAAAACACTTTGTTCCAATTTCTGAATCATCCACATAGTCATGGGTAGCAAGAACAGATAAAGATGCGGTCTGTCACTCCAGACAGAATAGGAATTTGTTTAAAGCTGCTTCATTTATGAAGCAAACATGAACTGTTACCCGCCAATGTACGAAAGTAACAGTGTTGATACAAGCCACAATTACACTTCTTGAAACTCTCTCTCTTTTTCTTGCAACATACTTATCTCATTATCCTCTTCATTAATCTGTATATTTTCAACTGCCCTTGTAAGATTTGGTTGTTTCTTCTTCCAGTATAAGGCTCCAACAGCAAACCCAATTATAAGAGAAAAGAATGCCGGCAATGCTACGGCTGCCCATTGTAGGCTGGAGTCTTCAATGGGATTTGAGGCCTTCCTATTACTGCTACTGCTGTCATTCCTAAGGGAACTGGCTGCAACAGGGGGTAACATAAATGGTTTTGTGACACTGACTCTGGAATATTTTTCAGGACTTGATGTTGAAGACATCACACATTCACTAGTTTTAGAAGCCACCATCTTCAAGTCCTTGAAGGCATCGATGGATTTATTAAAAATTCCAAAGAATTTTTCAGGAGTAAACAGCCTAGGTTCTGGGCTCTTAGATGATTTTTTTACATTCTCAAATGAGTGTTCTTCCATGCACTCCACAAGGTCATCGACTATTTTCACAAGTTTGTCTATGATAGAGTAATTACTCAAGCCTTCAGAAATATTTGAAAACTTGTCCAGAAGATCAGTCAAGCTGACTGACAATTGTTCCACCATCTCGCTTATCCAACAATGACTAGGCAAAACGTCCATCCCGGGGACATATCTGAGGGTTATCTTATAGTCTTTTGGAAGATTTGCCACCATGGAATCTGTAGAAACGCAGTCGCGGGCCACACCAGACCTACTGAATCTCATGTAACAAGTCCTCCAGGTGACTCTGATGTACGCTTAAGTTGGAGAACTACTGTTCTACTTTGATCCAATTTTGTAACGTCTTTCACATCATCAGTCACACGGTTCCTGCAGATCCCTTGAGTTTTGACGAGAGGATTAAATAGGAGCAGTTGAAGATAAATGCAAGTGATAATCCAAGTTTGTGTCTTCTTCATAAGGAAAGGCAGCGCTGTGATCCAGCCCAGGCAGCGGTGTGGCAACTCCGTTTAGCTGTTCTGGAGCTCCAGCATATTGCATGAGCAGCGGCTGCAGATAGTCCACGCATTGGGCAGCCCGAGCGCAGCGCCCTCTCCACTGCTCGTGCTTCGCGGAGCGCTCCCGGTCCCGGCGAGAGGCGGCGAGTCCAAGTCTTTTCAAAATGAGCCAACTTCTAATATGAAAGACATTAAGGAGTTCATCCCCAGGAGTCCCTCCTTCCACTTTCTACCCATGAGTGTCTTCTTCCTCCTAAGCAGAACACTTCAAAGATGGGTGGTACTGGGCTTCCCTGGTGGTGCAGTGGTTGAAAGTCCACCTGCCGATGCAGGGAACATGGGTTCGTGCCCGGGTCCGGGAAGATCCCACATGCCGCGGAACAGCTGGGCCCTGTGAGCCATGGCCGCAGGGCCTGCGCGTCCGGAGACTGTGCTCCACAACGGGAGAGGCCACAACAGTGAGAGGCCCGCGTACCCCCCACCAAAAAAAAAAAGATGGGTGGTACTGCAAAGTGCCTTCTCTCGTTTCCTCATCTATGAATTGGGGATAAAACTACCCACCACATAAGATTGTTATACAGATTTCGTAAAAAATTCTAAGTGTCTGGCATCTCCTTAGAAGAAGCTCAGTAAATAGCTCCTTCCTGCTCTAAATCCTTCTCTGTGACACATACAAAAAAGATAATGAAAATAATCACATGTGTTTTCTGAAGGATTACTTGATAATCTTCAAACCAAGATTTAACATTAAAAGATTAAACAGTTTAAAACTTCATCAAATCATAAAGTTGTAGAAATTGACAGATTTTTTTTTCCAGAAACTAATTTTTTAGCACAGTCTATCCCCTGAAGTGTTTCAAATTGTTGATGAAACTGCTCTATTTTGGTGATGATGATCACTTTCTACTCTGGCAGGTCTAGTAAATTAAATGCTCCCCAAGCTGAATCAGAAAAGGGACAGGCAGACAGTTACTGCATGTGCTATCAATGCCCACTCCCCAAACAAAAAATCCCTTTGATGGATGCCTTAAAAATTATTTATCCTAGAGCTTTCAAAATAGTGACACAATTTCCTATACTTGGAGACAGCAATCAAAGGCGTGGATACGTAAATATTATGTTTTCTGACTTATTCTATTATCTTCAGGAATATTGGGGAATGTGCTCCCATTATTAAAAGATTCTGGCCAAAGCTGGAAGAAAACAGAACAATGATTCCCTGGGGATAAAAAGAGGGGACTATAGCCAGTAGTTGCACACTCATGTCCTCTGCCCAGTTTTTAGTCTAAAAGTAGAATTATTCCTGAGTGTCCATTTTCAGAACATACTAAATCCAGTGTATTCAAATTTTTTATTAACTTAGTTTCATCTTATCAATTGACAAAAACAAAACAAAACAAAACACAAATCGGAGTTCAATGTGGTTACAGCCTAATCATTCACATAGCAAGTTGAAAATTACTAACTTACCTGGACGATTACTTCTATGTTATGTGTCCTATTACTGTAGTTTCTTGGATTCCACTTTAGTATGAAAATAGGACCAGACAAATGACTAGCTTGCCCTAAATGAACTCCATCAATCTTAACTGCGACTGAAGTAATGGAAGATAAGGAAAACACCAAGACTCTAAAATGAGAGCATAAATGCATGGTTTTAGGTATTTGGCATTGTTTTTATAAAGAAGAATAACCCTATTATAACCTGAAAAGATGTAAGTACAGTTGGCCTTCCGTTGGTTGATCTGCGAGTTACTGGGATGTGGAACCTGTGGTTTCTACCAACCATGGATCGAAAATATTCAGAAAAGAAAAATTTCAAGAAAGTTCCCAAAAGCAAAACTTTAATTTGCCTCTCGCCAGCAACTATTTACATAGCAGTTACACTGTGTTAGGTATTATAAGTAATCTAGATATGATTTAAAGTATAGGGAGGATGTGCATAGGTTATATGCAAATACTACACCAGTTTATATAAAGGACTTGAGCATCTGTACACTTTGGTATTCCCAGGGGGTCCTGGAACCAATCCCCCAGAGATACCGAGGGACAACGGTAAGGCAGACCATTACATTGTACAAATGTTCATATGACACTCTTCATATGATCTGGTTTCTTTCTAAATGGTGGCTTCTGGAGTTGTATAATTCAGCCAACCTGAATTGGTGAGAAATCAGAAACTATTCTAAATCTAAATCTGATATCCAGCTCCTATCAAGAAACCTGACCAAGAGATGTATGTTCCACTTACCTAGTGATCAAAAGAAATAAATTAAAGCATATTGGTACCCTTTTTTTCCAGAATAATTAGTAAATTTTTTTAAAAGTACAATATCCAATAATGATAAGAGTGCTGTGAAACTGGCACTCATATTGCTTGGTAACATTATAAATTAGTATCTGTTTTAAAAAGTAATCAGGTACCTTGTGCACTGCTGGTGGGAATGTGCAATGGCGCAGCCACTGTGGAAAACAATGTGGAGGTTCCTCAGAAAATTAAACATAGAATTACCACATGATCTAGCAATCCCACTTCTGAATATATACCCAAAGAACTGAAAGCAGGGACTGGAACACATATTTGTACACCCATGTTCATAGCAGCATTATTTACAGTAGTGAAAAGGCAGAAGCAAAAATGTCTATCAACAGATGAATGGATAAACAAAATGTAGTGTATATATGCAATGAAACAGTGAATACTCAGCCTTAAAAAGCAAGGAAATTCTGAAACATGCTTCAAAATGGATGAGGACATTATGCTAAATGAAAGAAAGCCAGTCACAAAAGGACAAATACTGTATGATTCTCCTATGAGGTACCTAGAGTTGTCAAATTCATAGAGACAGAAAGTAGAATTGGTGGTTGCCAGGGGCTGGGGGGAGGGGGAATAGGGAGTTAGTGTTCAATGGGTACAGAGTTGCAGTTTTGGAAGCTGAAAAAAATGGTGATGATGGTTGCACAACAATATAAAGGTACTTATTGCCACTAAAAATGCTTAACATGGTAAATTTTATGTTATGTATATTTTACCACAATTTTCTGAAAAAGAATAATGATTTTAGTTGCAAAAAAAAAAGTAATCAGGCAATCTTTATCAACAGTCACAAAGGAATTCAAACTATTTCACCTAGAATCTTATTTCCAGAACTCTATCTAAAGCAATTATTCAAATGAAGGAAGAATCTATATGCATCAGATGTTCATCCTCAAATTAGAAAAAAATCTGAAAGTTCACCAATAAGATAGGAAAATGGTTAAACTGTGGTCCATTCTCTCTGTTGACAGAAAAAAAATAGCAATTAGAATACACTGTGCCCTATGATTACGACTGTGTAAATACAGGCCTGAAAGAGAATGCCTGAGAAGGAAAACTCATGTTAATAATAGTTCTATTGGGGTATGGAGGGGGAGTGGGACAGGGATACACATATAATCCCATTACTCTATTTTCCAAAAGTTATGTTGTACTGCTTTTCAAAATAAAATTTAAAAGAGTATATTAAAACAAGTGCCCTTATGTTTGCAAAAGGTTATGTCTCTTTGCAAAAGGAATGTTAATGTCTCATTAAGATTCTATTTAATACTACTCAGCCATAAAAAAGAACGAAATAATGCCATCTGCGGCAACATGGATTCAACTAGAGATTACCATACTAAGTGAAGTTAGAAAGACAAATACCATATAGTATCACTTATATATGGAATCTAAAATATGACACAAATTAACTTATCCATGAAACAGCAACAGAATCAGGGACATAGAAAATAGACTGGTGGTTGCTAAGGGGGAGGGGGTGGGGGAGGGAAGGACTGGGAGTTTGGGATTAGCAGATGCAAACTGTTATATATGGGATGGGTAAACAGCAAGGTCCTACAGTACAGCACAGGGAACTATATTCAATATCCTGTGATAAACCATAATGGAAAAGAATATGAAAAAGAATGTATACATGTATAACTGAGTCACTTTGCTCTCAGCAGTAATTAATACATTGTAATTCAACAATACTTCAATAAAAAATAAATTTAAAAAAAGATTCTATTTATATGCACTGTCAAATTCATATGCCAAATGATTTTTCAATTCCAGAAGGTTTACATAGCTTTTGCTTTTTTGAAAGGCTATGTAGCAAAACAAAAAAATATATACTTCTGATATATGATGTAAATTTTTTTAAGTAGGATACAAATGAATAGGTACATTATGATTACAGCAATGTAAAACCATGCATATAAAAAAGCGAGAATAAAAGACAAAAATAATAATGGTAGGATTATGGGTTTCTAGATTTTTTTTTATTTCAGCAGCTTAAAAATTATATACTTTTTAACTGAATAGGAATGAAACAGTAGGCAATTTATATAATGTTTAGATTGCTGAGAAAACTAAAGTAGAGCATCTCATAGCTTTCACATAAGAATGCAATCACAATGACTTACTCTTCATCAATATCAAACTGAAAGTAAATTCTGAAAAACTGCTACATACCTGATGTGTGTTGAGTGAAGGAGTCTTTCTAGTGGTTCATGTTTAGCAGAACTATAGAGGAATGATTTAGGATTCGTGATAAGAACCACAGGCCACTCGCCAAAGATCAAATCTGCAAAGCTAAAGAGGTCATGATCAAAAGCAAAGATCCGGTACCTAGACACCAGAGGACAATAAGGTAATTTAGTTACTTCATATTATAAGATGGCCTGAAGGATATATACAGAACAAATGTAAAACGATAAAACTATACTTTCTGAGATCATGAATTTGAATGCAGAGTAAATAATATTGTTCCTCTTTCTTCCCTTGCCCTTATCACTTTATACATTTTGGCACATGTGATGTGTCACAACTGGGATCTGACTGAAGCAATGAATTTTTACTGTGTCCTAGAACAATGCCTGGTACATAGCATGTACTCTTTAATTTTTAAATAAATGTTTGTTGAATTAAGTCATTTGATTTCTATACTTTAAGACTATTTTGAACCTAAAACATTCATCATAAGTCTTATAATATCTGACATTCTTCATCCCATCAACAATGCTACATAAAATATTAAAATAAACACACT